GGAGGGCTTACATAAGAGCGGATGCCCAGCGCGTTTCACGGATTGGCCAGAAGCTGGTAGCCCATCCCACCGGTAGCCGTGCCTACTGGAGCCTGGCCAAAGCCGTGCAGTCCAATTTTTGTCGTTCGTCGCTGCCGCCTTTGAGGTGTCCCAATGGATTTTTGGCCTATGGCCCCGAAGAGAAAGCCAATTTATTGGCCGACCTTTTTGGGGCTAACTCGCGCATTCACGACCAAGATGCGCAACCGCCGTCAATTCCCCACTGCGGAGTCACAATGCCTGATATAGTTATCAAGCAATGTGATGTCCGCAAGGAACTGCAGACTCTTGACGTGCGGAAGGCCTATGGTCCAGATGGGATACCTCCTATCGTCCTTAAAAGGTGTGCGGCGGAGTTGTCTCCTGTACTGACGCGCTTATACCGCCTCTCATACCAATCTGGTAACGTGCCCCTAGCTTGGAGGGAGGCCAACGTGTAACCTATCCCCAAGAAAGGAGATCGGTCTGATCCGACAAACTATCGCCCAATAGCTGTCACTTCAGTGCTCTGCAAAGTGATGGAGCGGATTCTAAATATCCAGATAATCCGGCACCTGGAACGTCACTCCATTCTTAATGATCGACAGTACGGGTTTCGGCCGAACCGATCAACGGGTGACGTTCTAGCGTATCTAATGCATCTCTGGGGTGAAGCTATCGACAAACAGGGCGAAACCTTAGCGATAAGTCTGGATATTGCTAAGGCCTTTGATCGGGTCTGGCACCGTGGTCTCCTCTCCAAGCTTCCGGCATATGGTCTTCCCGGCCGCCTTTGTGAGTGGATCTACGGCTTTCTGCGCGGGCGAAGATTGCATGTCCTTGTTGACGGAAGCACTTCGCGGCTCGTGACAGTTAATGCGGGGGTGCCACAGGGCTCTGTGCTGTCGCCCACGCTGTTCCTTCTGCATATCAATGACTTATTGCCTTTTGGCAACATTCATTGCTATGCAGATGATAGCACAGTGCACGGTTGCTATTATAAGCAACCGTCAAGCAGCCGGGAGGACCCTGAGAGAAACCGGGAAAAACTTGTCGCTGAGCTCAACCATGTTTTGGAACATATATCGTCGTGGGGCTCCCGAAACTTGGTTGAGTTCAACGCCAAGAAAACCCAGGTATGCGCGTTCAGTTCCAAAAAATCCCCATTCCTTCCACTTCCCCATCTTCAGGGTACAACGCTGACGCTGCAGGACAAGCTCAGCCTGCTGGGGATGAGCATCCGGAAGGACACGAGCAACAAAGACTATATAGAGAGCGTCATCTGTACCGCGTCGCGCAAGCTTGGCATCCTGAACAAGATGCACCGATTTTTTACTCCAGAGCTGCGATACCTGTTGTATAAAGCTCAGGTCCGAAGCAGCATGGAGTACTGTTCGCACCTTTGGGACGGCTCTGCCAAGTACTTGCTCGATGCCCTAGATGGACTGCAGCGCTACGCCTTCCGTGTTGTCAACGATCCTCATGTAACTGAGCATGCGGAGTCGTTACAGCTTCGCAGAGATATAGCGTCTCTTAGCGTATTCTATCGCCTGTACCACGGTGAGTGCTCTGAAGAGTTATTCAACCTTATCCCTTCCTCTCCTTTCCATCAGCGGACCACCCGTGCCGGACTGCGTTGCCACAGTTGGACGGTCAGTTCAATACCGTCCCGCACTAAAAAGTTTGGCAATTCGTTCTTATGCCGAACCATCAAATTGTGGAACCAACTCCCGGCGCATGTATTCCCTCCCCTCTATAACATCGGGTCCTTCAAACGTAGTGTGAAGAAGCATTTGGCCAGACCGGCAAAATGATAGTGACGGAGTGAAGATATTTGTGTTTTCCATCCGTTACTCTCATCTCTGGACTGTATTCGCACTTTCCATCAGGCGCGGTGCAGTCATTTTGCCGAGTCACAATAAAATAAAAAAAAATAAAAAATAAAATAAGGTTAATATTATGGATATCTTCTTTCTTATTGAAATTATGTATATGTTTACGGGCATATAAAATATTTGAGTAAATGTACTGTGATGCCACAGTCATGATACCAGTCTCCTTAAACTTACATATTACATACATATTTTTAATCGATATAAAGCTCAACAGATATAATTAATTTATGGTATACAGACATTTGACATATTCTTGCATGATGTAAAGGTCACTGGGTATAATAAACGATTGATATAACAATTTTCAATGTAATATGCCGATGGCATAATGTTCATTTTATATAAACACTTCAGATATAACATTCACTGAGTATAATGTATTATAAATATAATTCCAGCGGTGTTTAGGTGCAATTGTGGATGAACCGAATTTGTTTGCATTTTCTAGTTGGTTCTACTTGGTCCTGTGGTTAATAGGTTAGGTTAGTACTCCGCGAGGATGACTCTCTTGCGGACCAGATTCGGCGTCGGCGACCAGGGCGGACGAGGAGAGCCTACGCCGATAGCCTCCTTCCCATCCGCGGAGGCCAGCAGGGAGCAGGGTTGGGAGGCCCTGCCCCTGCATTGCACAGGCCACCGCAGACGGCAGATGCCCCTAATGCTCCGGGGCATCACCGTGGAGGTTCCCTGCCAAGGGGGAATCGAGTAGGGGTTCGCTGAAGAAGCGGACCACCACCGGCGGAGTCGCGGTAGAATCCGAAAGGGACCCCGTGACTCTGCACGGTGCTGGAGATTCGTCGTCGAGACGTTCTCCGGTACCGCGGTGGGAGGAGGAGCATCGTGAGGTTTTTAGTGGGTATGCTCTTGGGGACCATCATAGTCCCCAGGAGAGAGTCCCACATATCCCCGCCGTCTCCCAGCGGTGGGGAATGCGTAACGCATTTTCCTCACGATAATAAAAAAAAAGGTTAGGTTAGTACATGCTGCACGAGCCGAGCGAGCGCAGCGAGCGTGCCGCGGCAGCGGCCAACGAGTGCCAGAACCGAATTTGTTTGCATTTCCTAGTTGGTTCGACCTCCTCCAGGGTTTTAGGTTAGTATAATTGTATATACTAACTTAAACCCACTGGAGTAATGTAGTGTGTAAATGAAGGGGGAGAAACACAGTGGAGAGTTCACCTGCATTGACTTAACCGATTATCGTCACATTTGCTAATAGTTGCACTGATTGCAAATGATACACCTGAAAAAAAAATATGGCGAAACGGAGTACCGTTCTTTCGTATTCTAATATTTCATTTTAAGGTTAACGCTGTTACAGTCTATGAAAATGCTAAACATATTAACATGCTTTAAATCCTGAGCGGTCATGCTCGTTAAGTTAAAGGTACCCTTGTTTGCGGTAGAGTTGCGTGTGGCGGGTCGCCCTCTTCCTTCAAATATGGCTAATGAGAGCGATGGCTGGTACACGCGTCAACATGCACTCGTGCCGGTTTAAGAGGCCGGTTCGCCCCGTAATATTATTATTTAGTATAGTGATATTGCTGACCTCCTTCATGGTCATCTCACCTTTTAATTACCACTAGCTTTTAAAATTTTGAATCGGTCTCGAATTCCTTTTACCTTCCACTATTCTTACGTTGGTTCGTTCCATCACTCCTATCAAAATTCTTAAAACGAGAGTACGTGCTCAACGATCGATACCTACAATGATCACTACGCCAACTTAATTTTTGGACCTGTTCTATTTTTATTTTGTTTTTGGTTTCGTTATAATTTTTTCACAAAATTCAGGGAGCATAATATTAGTAAATAAGTATGGCTGTTTACAAAAATGACAGAAAATTACCAAAAAATAAAGTTCATTGGAGGTATCGAGATCGTCCTCATATAAAACTCAAACTTCATGTGATTTACTGTTTTTAAATCAGTATACGTACATATGTAGTAGCAGTAGAGCTTCTTGTGAAAGAGTTCGTCCAGGATAATACTGCGACCTTCCCTATTTCTGCCTCCAAGCAGTAATGTCAGCATTACTGTGTTCCAGTTTTCAAGGGTAAGGGTGCTGGTGAAATTACAATATTTATGTGGTCTGTGTTACAGGCACATGGGACTTGTCAACTTACGTCGCAGGGTGACGGGCGCTGTGGCAGTGTCCTTCAGATCTTTGCGATTTAAAGCTCTGAGGATACTGCAAGTGTCATGGATAGGCCTGTGGCTTATCATCAGGCGCACGACTTGCTTGTCCCGTCACTTGATATTATGCAAAAAATATATACTAGACTTTTTTATTTCTACATGTAAATAAAAATGTGGAGCGAGTCTTTTCTTCTTTTTTGCTAAGGCCGGGCCACAGAATAACAAAGTATCTTTTATAATATTCTTATTTGTTTTTTATTACCATAATTTAAATATAGATCTATAAAAAACGGGCATTTTTCCATCATAAAAGTTTTCGTAAGCGTCTGTCCATATTCTATAACTCCTAGTGAAGGTACAAACTTAGATTGAAAAAATCTTCGAACGCCAAATAGATAAAAGAAGCTTATATGTAAAAATAGAGACAATCTACAATTTTTCTGAGCATTTTTAATTCAGTAAAAAGAAACATAGTACGTATAGTAATTATATTAACACGATCGACTTATTGATGGCGATTCTGTTTACACATCATTAATTTATGACATCGAGTATCTAACCAGAAATAAAGACGAAATAAGGGCCATCCATCCCTGGCAGCATAATAGGCAAATGGCCCTTTATATATAAACTTTCGTTTGCGCTGAAATCACAAATTAGAAAACCGAAATAGCGCCAACAACTGACCTGTCTACGTTTCCGTATATGGATGGAATATGTTCTAAAAATATTATGTATTTATTATAATAAAGATAATATCTCTAACGATGAGGGCTGTTCCATTTGGTGGTGTGGGAAAAACAGCAAAACATCTAATTACAAAATAAACGGACTCACATTTCAACGGTAATTAAATATTAAAAATATAGTTTTGCTATTTTTGTCCAATATAGCAAAGCTCAAGTTAAACTGGTCAATTAGAAGTGAAGCAATTGATGACACCCGTCAAATGTTTCGAATTCGGGCTGGCCAATCGGAGCGCAGTTGTCACAGTAATTATTTGGCAGAATAGTTTTCAAACAAATTAAATGACATTTCGTCCTATTTCTGGTTATATATTTGATGATTTATGGGAGCTATAATTGCACCCTGGATGTACTCGTTATTAAGATCACATCTGTAAAATGACAACTTTTCAAGATAGAGGTTCATAGATTCTACAAATGAAATTAGCCAATAGCTTTTTATGCTTCAATAGGACAGTTATAAGCTTTCACATATTACGTAAGATTTCATATTACTTTTTATGACTTTCATGTGATAAAACATTTTTTTATGTACGATCAATCACATGTCACTTTTTTCTACCAAATGCACGAAATACTGGAGGCTTTTAAATTTATTATCAATTTAAATTGGAGAACAATATGTTAGCTAAGTCAAATTTGTTTAGGATAAGAATCAACATCATAACGAAACTAAAACAAAAATTGTAATTTCGTAACGAATAATGTTCTACTCATATTTATAATATTATTTCACAGTAAAAAACGATCAGCTTAAATAAGAGCCTCTTTTCATAAATTACGTTTACAAAATCCGTTATAATAATATATGACATCGATTATGCACTATAATGATAGGCTCACTTCTTCATCAACATAGGCCAAATGACATAAAAATAACAATGTAATAGTTCTGGCGTGACTAGCGTCACGCCAGAACGCGTAGCGTCATCTAGTCTCTTGTACTGAAACTACAATAGCAGCATATTACCACACATTTTTTCCTGCAAAAGTAAATCATAGGTTTTTTATATGTACATTACTTACTGCCCTCCTTGTCATAATACCTATATACTAAATCTATGGTCATAACTAACGCTTTTGCACTTTAGTAACTTTCGAGATATTGGCACCTATAGTTTATTTTTCTTATTTTCTGTAAATTACGCTCTTAATTTTGCATAACAATAAAACTTAAACTAAATGAGTTACCTATAAAAAAAAGCGATTAGAGAGGGCTGTAAATCTTGTTTTCGCGAAAAATATCGATTGTCATTTATGATAACAATAATTATGAGAAGGGCAGACTATGTCTCAATAACAGCCATATCTGAAATTTTGTCGTAACTAAATGACATAGTTTTTGAAAAGCGATCGTTCGAAATCGTTATACATCTTCATTTTTATATGTGTATGAACATTGGTAGAACACGTTAGAGTCGATCTTACATCTAAACTGTTAAATAGAACATTTTGCTAACTTGATGCTTTGTTTTCTCTAGCCATACTTCTAACTCTTACACACTTAGTGAACCTGTGCAGGCACAAAGCTTTGCGCTTAAATTTAATAAAAGAAGAACAAGGAGAAAATAACACAGTTTTCTTTAGGGCCAGCATAAGCCAGGTGGAAGAGCATCGAGGAGGATCTTATACCCGCCAGAGGATCTTCTGATCTTACGCACACTGATGAGTCTTCTCCGCGAGCATACACCAGCTTATCGCAGCGTCCGCTCCCTCCTGTATGCAGCTACCCCGGCGCATTCTGGTGAACCGACACATAACCGGTGGATTCCGTCGCATACCAGCTCCTCCCGCCGTGGTATTCCCTAGCGAGCTCTTCAATATCGCAGAGAGAACGTGGGGATACTGCAAGGTCGGTCTCAGATAAACTTATACGTTATTGCAATTGAAATTGCATAAAATATACATTGATAAATTTTATATCCTCTGCTTTGCTATGCGCCCGCTTACGCTGGCCCTAACTCACCAGTCGCGCCATAAATTGTGCATTTAGCATGTCACTCGACTTAAATACAGTGGTACAAAATGTTTCAATGCAGTAAATGGGCTCACTCTTACATCGTAAAACTTTATTAACGAAAAGTTGTCTTCAATAAATGTTATCCTCAACTCCTAATCTGAAGTTGACATAAATCGAAAGATTCGTGTATTAATTATGTCATTAATTTATACAAAATCAACCTATCAACATACTCAGTAAGAACAAACACAAACATTGTTCATAATCATTTTAATCAATGCGTCTTTACTTTACCATTACCATTTAATTGTGCGTCAATTTTTACATTGTTGTTCATACTGTTTAAATAAAAGTTTTTACTAGTATTTTCGATAATATCGTCACCTTTATGGCTATTGGATATTTTTTCTTTTGCAGCGACAGCATTAGGTTTTTTAATATAAGTTTTGATGTAGAATTCAAGGAAGAGAACGAGCATAAATATATTTTGAGGAAGAAAGACCGCGGCCGTCCACCGAGGAAATTCGCAGTCGGGCTTGAACACTATGAGAGCCATATGAATCACGCACCAGAGAAATTGGAGCTGAAATTAAAAAAAAAACTGATTTAAAACTGGATCAATGTGAAACTTTCTTAAAAGAAATAATCCATTAGAACTGATTGACAGAAATTGTAATTTAGAACAACAATAACAATGTATAGAACCATTTTCACCGATCATTTTGGTCACAAACTAAGTAGTTCGCTTAACTACGAGCACCACTCTAGGGCTATATCCAAAATACCCAAGTAACAATTTATGCAAATTTGACCCAGCGACTATTGCCGGGACGGCATGGTAATGGGCTCTTCGTTATTAGTACATTCAAACGCATACTAACGGTAATAAGCCGCGGTATCCTTAGGGACGCTGACGCATCTTGCTAGCACCTAGTCTCTCTTCAGTTCAGTCGTAACGTCGCAAGCTGATTTATTATCAGTTGTATATTTTAAAGAAGCTTGCCGAAGCATCCCGAAGCTTGCCAAAACTTTTCAGAGGCGGCCGGCTCGGTATGCCTAGGCTTACCCAGCTTTGATTTTGTAGCTACGACCAATATAATTGAAATTTCGTCTATAATTTTATCAGTGGCGAATTTGCAGTTTTGTCCGCCCTAGGCTCCAGATCATGTAGTCAGTACCAGCATCCGTTCAGTAGTTTTTGAGTTTATCGTGATCAGACAGACAGACAGACGTAGTGATGTAGTAAGTTTTTAGAATATTTAGGTACTTTGAGTTATTTCTTGTCATCATGAGTGATTTTTTTGTCCGCCCCTAAACTCGGGCCGCCTTAGGCCCGGGCCTACTGGGCCTTAGGGCAAATCCGCCACTGAACGTTATCCTATTAAGGCACATATTGTTGGTCACGTAAAAATTCATTGCTGTTCCGTCTTTGGTCGCTGCGGCTTAATTTTCTAATTGGTCATACAAGGAATCTGACTCAAGAACTCCTCATCTAGCTCTCATAGTGCTAATGAACATTGGGCCACTTACATTTTCAAACTAAGTATGGTGTTTTCCTTAAAAGAAATAAATATCAACTTACCTTAAACAATACGTTTCTACTCAAGTACAGTCAATAGCACGTCAAGCTCAATACTTTGTACTTCGGATTGTTCTTATCGCAAGTGGTATAGAGTTGAATTTTTGCCCTTGCCCTTATACCTCAAATGTTTATATCAGACCTGTATGACATAAAACTTACTATTTGTAGTTGAGTAATGTATTTCTTCCACCATAGAGATTTCTTGACGCTCGGCACAGCAACAGTCAATAAGTAGTAGAAGTACATGACAATGTGGACAAACGAGTTGATTACTCCGATTAGAGTACCGTGGCCGCCTAAAATTTTGAACAAAAATGTAAATTTACTCAAAAATATTTGCGTCTAAAGTCTACCACTATACACACGATTTACATAACAAGTATTGGCTAAAAATATTGAATGGCGTTAGCGCTGCGGCATTAGGAACAGGTATTGTAAATACAAAATATAAAACCGTGAAGCTTACTCTTCCATACTCGCCTATTAAAATTAGTGAGCAATTAATGATTTGAATTTATTTGCTCTGACTAATAGAGTAGGCGTTTGAATATAGTTACGCGTAATGTAAAAGATATTCTATGGAGGCGTCTAAGCGCCATCAGAAGGTGAGAAACCAGTTCCAGGAAGAGTGAAAGAATAACCTTTACTTATAATATCAAGGGCAGGGTGTCTAATTATACCTACATATAAAATTAGGCACTCTGCCCTTGAAACACGACTGGTAAAATTCTCATTATCGTCACTGTTGATTTACATAGGTCATTTCTCTATAATTCAAGTATGAAGGCAGGAGGTCACTGTTTACTATGCCCACTAACTGTGGGCAGGGAATTCAGACGTCTGTGAAATGTTACGTTTCGTTTACCGATAAACCATTTGATAAATGTTAAACTAAACAGCAAAATATTGTAAAAAAAAAACTCAGTAGTACAGGCCTCTCGGCTGGTAACGAACCCAGGAAAGGATATAAAAGGCAAACGTATTCTCAAACAGACTACGGCAGGTGTTATTACTTGTTCCGATTACACTCTACCAATGAAACTTTAGGTAGTGTATTCTAAATTATCTATTGATAACATTACCAGGAAAATATGTAATAGCTCCCCAAATCAGCATAACCATCCCTGTGTGGTGGTAGACGTGCAGAAACGATATTTGGTTGTTCTTCTTACGGAGCACGAAGAATACCTATAATATGAAAAATTAAAACTAACATTATCAATACGAGGAATAAAAATAAACCACCTATTCTTGATAGTCGTCTTCACAAAGCTACAAATTTAGTTAGGGGGCAATAAATACGTTTCTAATTATAAGATTCCGGTTGATACTCAAAATTTGTCATTCACGAGGTTTAAAACTATAATGAAACAAAAACTTTACACTAAAAGTTATTAATACAGCTTCTGCGTACTGGGATGACAGAAATCCATGGTAATGACCGGTAATTCTTGCAGATAGTCTCGTTTTGAAATAAATATTGTCATTGACAGCAACGTAGTCGGGTATTTAGTACCAGTTGGTACACCAGATGTCGCGGCGAGTAACCAAATGGCTATTTTTGTAAATTGTAACTAATTTGTTTTACATTGAAAAGCTGCAATTTATCAAAGTTACTCTAATTTCTAGTGATACCAAACAAACCAATTAGATGGCGCTTATTGCATAGATTTTTATGTGAGTGAGAGCCGGCTATTCTTTTATTTTGTATAGGATTAGCGCCACCTACCCGTATTAGGAAGCGTTAATTTATAAATTAGTTTGTAACACACACTGCCATCTATTGACACGCATATTTATCAAAGTTCAACAAATAATTTCGGCTTGTGATCAATATTTGAATAACACATTAACACAACAAGGAAAAAAACTTACTTATTATATTTCATATTAAAGATGAATTGATTGATATCTACGACCACTTACATAATATAAACTATTTCCAGTCTGAGCACCATTTAGATAGAAGATGGAATTTGGACCTTTTTCTGACCTACGATCTGTATTATGGAGTCAAGGCATAATCTGCCTAAATAATGAGCAGTACCTACGCTTAAACTAATATGACGATTCAAGTGTAATTTGCTTACTTATGAAATAAACATGATTAGAGTTTGATTTAGAAAAGCATTGATCGTAAGTAGTAAACACGGAATGTAATTAAATGTTGACGAGTATTTTCTGAATGTATCGATAACTTCAGCAAAAACTACACTCTATTTACAGCGGTGTATTATTATCGCCTTAGGGCTGTATAATATACAGCCCTAAGGCGATAATTGGGTTCTTATATTTTTACTCTCCCGTCACACGCTCGGGCGCGGGGACCTCAAAGTCTACTTTGCGCCATTTTTCTTTTTCCCCTGGCGAATTTTTTTTTTAATTTTTAATTTTCTTTATTTATAAAGAAAATTAAACATTATAACAATGTTATTAGGAATGAAGTAATGGAAAGAATGTGGAAAGTCGCTTTCTCGAATTCCGGAAACATACTCAGAAATACTATTAATTGTTCTCATAGCCCTGGTAAAAGCAGCGAACTTTAAAATACTTATACGATACATACTCATATTTTTGCTAACGCTTTATGTATAAATAAAACGTATTTTTTAAAATTTGTAATTATGTCGTGGCATATAATATGTACCACGACATAAGTTTATAACATACATATACCACGACATAATTATAAATAAAAAATAATACGTATTATTTATATGTAAAAATATAGCAAAAATTTGAATACACAAAAAAGAAAATTCTTTATAACATTTATTTTTGGTATAGTTTAAAGTTTGTAAATATTAAAATTATCGAAAAACTACAAAGTACAATTTTCCTATTTTTCGACACCCTCGCAATTGTGATGAAAAACATTGTATGCCACACGGGCGTAACTGCAATTACTAATGTTCGGGCTATTAAAGAAAATGGTAGGTTACATCTATTGTTTTGTAATCTGAGGGTTACATATTTATCCAGACTTATGTCATTGTTAATGGTGAGTTCGTCCAAGGAAGTACTGCCACCTCACTTACTTCTGCCACCAAGCGGTAATAGCATTACTGCGTCCCGGTTTAGAAAGGTAAGGGTGCTGGTGAAATTACAGGCACATGAGAGTTGTCAACTTATGTCTCAGGGTGACGGGCACAGTGGCCAGTGCCCCTAATAATCTTTGCGATTTCAAGCTTTGAGTGGCACTGCAACTGTTATTTATTTATTTATTTATTTATTTTCACATTGCACATGTACAAAATATTTATAGATCTTACAATTAGGTTAGTCAAGTACATGACCCAGTCTGGGTATTGCAAGTATCTTAAAACTAAATTTATATAGTATATGTCCTTTTATTAAATAAACACAAAAATTATTATAAATTATTATTATTATTATATTTAACAAATTATTTTTAACGCTTCCCAACATAATCCCTACAACCAAAAATAAATATCACAATTAGACAATAACTAACAGGAAAGAAAACATAATATAAACCCATCAAAATTTAAGAAAAATAGTAATGTCAATAATTATGTCGACAAATAGTGTCAAAAGAAGTGCCAACAAAAGAAAAAAAGATAAAATACTAATGTCAAAAGAGTAGAATAATAATAATGTCGTTGTATTAGGATTTAAAGTACATTATTTAACTAGGTCATGGACAATACTCAATGGCTTTTCACTCCATGTCATTCGTCAAAAAACTGATTCAAGCCATAATAGCATTTTCCAAGTAGATGAGTCTTTAATTTTTGGATGAATAAATTATATTGAATCTCTGATGAAATGAACTTTGGAATTTTGTTATAAATTTTAATAGCCATTACATATGGTCCCTGACTATACATTTGCAATCTTGAGGTGGGCAGTACTAACCTATTTTTATATCTAAGATTTGGGCGGTTATGGATATCCTTGGCTTGAGTGAAATAATGTTGATTCTTTTTGACAAATTTACATATCTCTAGTATGTATAAGGATGGTACTGTTAGAATCTTTAATTTAATGAAATACGGTTTACAGCTTTCCATTGAGTCAATGTTTGCCAGTATCCTAATACATTTCTTTTGTAGCGTGAATAACATTAGGGCATCCGTGCTATTTCCCCATAAGGTAATGCCATAACTAAGCCAAGCGTGAGCATACGCATAGTATGCGGTTTTAGCTGTGTCTATGTCAGTGGTTTTCTTTAACTGTAACAATGCATAAGCAAATCTACAAAGTTTGCTTGAAATATTTTGAATGTGTTGTTTCCAGTTTATATTGGTGTCTAAATGTATGCCAAGTAAGTTAAAAGTATTCACCGTTTCTATCATATTATTGTTTATTTTAAAATTTATTTTTAATGGAACCCTTTGGTAAGGTCTAAATTGCATTATTTTAGTTTTTGTATAATTTATTATTAGATTATGCTCACTTAGCCAACTGTTTATATCATTAAGAATGTCATTTATACTTTTATTTAAATCTGATTCCATTGTACATGGAAAAACCACTGACATATCATCCGCGAATAAAATGCTTGTAACATTTAACGCTTTAGGTAAATCGTTAATATATATCAGGAATAGTAAACTCCCTATTACACTTCCCTGTGGTATGGATTGGGTCACGGCAGCTCTTGGTGACCGCACGCCAGATATGACACCAGTACTGGGATCGTGATGTTCCACTTCCACGTACTGATAACGATTTGTTAGGTACGACTTGAACCACTCAAAGGCTATTCCCCTTACACCTATGCCATAAAGCTTTTGTAGCAATATTTTATATGATACTCTGTCATAAGCCTTACTCATATCCAAGAGAACCCCGACTGCATATTGTTTATGGTTGAGAAAGTCTAGTATTTTTTGTATGTAATTATATACTGCCATTGTTGTTGATCTATGCTTTCTAAACCCGTATTGACTCTCATCCAATATTTTGTATTTTTCACAGAATGAGTATAGTCTCTGTGACATTGCCGATTCAAATATTTTTGCAAAGGTTGGGAGGAGAGATATAGGTCGATAGTTATTTAAATCCGTTGGATCACCCTGCTTAAATATCGGTTTGATAATGGATATTTTAAGCAGGTCTGGAACGGCGCCTTCGGAAAAGGATTGGTTAATTAAAAATACAAGTGGCAGGACAAGTTCGTTTGCACATTTTTTTATTAGTTTTGGTGATAGTTCATCCAAACCAAAACTTTTTTTGTTCTTAAGATTACCAATGATTTTGTGCAATTCTGATGGCTCTACGGGCTGTAAATACATAGAATTCTGAATCGGAATCACCACAGGACGTCCGTTTGGCGAAGACATTGGACTAGCAGCAGCATCTGCTTTATTTCCTACCGTTACAAAATAGTTGTTAAATGTGTTTGCCACACCATTGGGATCCACTATTAAAGAATTAAGGACGTTTAAATTAATATTTTTCCTGGTGGTTTTTTTAATTTTATTAGTTCTTTCTTTAACTATATGCCACATCGTTTTAGTTTTATTCTCAGAATCTCTAATTTTTTGTATATAAGTTAGTTTTTTAGATTTTAATACCGTGATTTTTAATAATTTTTCATATTTTTTATAGTAATTTTGCAGAATAGGATTTTCTGTTTGTTGGACTAATAGTTTTAACAACCTTTTGTGTTTACATGAGACCTTTATACCCTGGGTTAGCCACGTCTTCTGAACTTTGCTTTTAATTTTAACTTTTTTCATAGGCATACTAATGCGTAATAAATTTTGAATCGTTTCCAAAAACAAACTATAGTTTTGATTTATAGTTTTATCTGTATTAAGTAAGCTATTCCAATCTATTTTCCCTAATAGGGACTTGAAAAGCTGTATATTTTTTTCATTGTAATGTCTTTTTAGTAAATACCAATTCTTCTGATTTTCTGTTTTTACTCTTGGAATTTTTAAGATAATCCCTTTATGATCCGAGAGACCATAATCTATTACATTTGCTATAAGAGTTTGTTTTTGGATATTTGAAAATATTAAATCTATACACGTAGAACTTGTAGGTGTCACTCTTGTGGGTTCATTTATATATTGTTTTAAGTCAAAACTTTTCATTAGATCCAATAATCTTAAAGATAACTGATCCTTTTCTAATATATTTATATTAAAATCACTCCCTATTATAATATTTTTACGGATATCCTTTGAACTCAGTATATTCAATAACCGTTCTAAAGATTCAAAAAATAAATCTGTATCTCTATTTCTTACTGGCCAATATAACACAACAACCAGAAGCTCTAGGCTAGGAATCTCTATTGCGCATGTTTCAAATATATATTCTGTAGAAACCTTTGTTATGGACAGGCGTGTAGCTTACCATCAGGCGCACGGCTTGTACGTCCCGTCACTTGATATTATAAAAAAAAGACTGTTTTAAACATTTACGTCCTGTTTTAAAATTAAATGTTGGTTTTAAATAAGTTTAAGTTTTAAAATTTAATTTAAAACTGTACGTAAATATTGTAAAATAGTCATGAAAAACTAAAACATGTTTCTCTGAAAAATTTTTCGAAATGGCGCTTTCGCCCTTTCTACAAAACACCGACGATATATAAATGGATAACTAAATATAACATAAATAAAAATAATCACATTATTCACATTAAGGGTCGTATTCCAGAACTCTACTCAACGCTTAAGTCAGGATTTGAGCAGACTTGAGTACGATTTGCAGCACTGGAAATACGACCCTAATGGCAAGGACTTGAGTATGATTTTCAGTGCTCACTGCAATACCCAAGTCCTGACTTGAGTATTGAGTAGAGTTCTGGAATACGACCCTCAGACTCATTCAGAATTTTCTTTTCAAAACGTGTTTTCTCAAACCTAAAATTTTTTTAGTGAAGTTAGAACAGTATTTGATTTCAAGTGCGTTATACGAAAAGAGTGAATGTTTTTTTTATAATTTTCACTCGTTTATTAGGGTTGGCAAAGGTTCTACTATATATTACATTTTTTTCCTTCTTTAGACGACGAGTTCCTGTACCTAGGTTTTGCCTTTGTCATAGTGGATTGACGATATGTAACTGTAAAGCATAGAATAAGCACCTACGTTTTCAGAAGGATATTGAAATAAAAGTATTTAAAATAAAAGTTTTTAAATTAAAATGATTTGATGTATTTAATAATAAACGGACAACAATAAATGAACTAAAAATATGAATACATAAAATGTAATTGATAATCAATGTGATAATGTAAATTGAATCAATTTCAATTTCATTTCATTTCAATGTTTAATTTTCCTTTGATTTTGTTTATTGAATTTAATATTATATTTTTTATTTAGAATAATTAAATAATTTGGGTGTTTATTATGTTGCGGTACCCCTAACAGTGTTCATGTCTAGGTATTGATTTTTTTAAATGTACACCATGTCAGCTACATGATTGCATTAAATAAATGAATTTTAAATTAAGGTCATTTCTTCAAGTTACCTTTACTCTACTTTTCAAGTTTTACGTAAATAGACAATCATTCGAAATGATACGAATATTTCGAATCTAAATTGCGTACATTTGTTTAAACACTGTTTGTTTTCGACTGATGAATAAATAAATAAAAAGTACCGGTAATTGTTGTTCTAACTCATTCCAGTTTATTATTTGACACGTACAATGACCTCACTTGTCAGTTCACTATTCTAAATTTTAAGTCATAATTAATAGTTTGATTGTAAGGTTAATAACGTAAGACAACAGTGTCTAAATTGTCAGATTTGTTGAATAATAATAACTAATTAATGTTTTATCATTACAAGTGACGGGATGAACAAGTCGTGCTCCTGACGGTAACCGACACGACTGTCCATAACAGTTGCAGTGCCACTCAAAGCTTGAAATCGCAAAGATCTTAGGGGCACTGACCACTGTGCCCGTCACCCTGAGACATACGTTGATAACTCTCATGTGCCTGTAATTTCGCCAGCACCCTTACCTTTCTAAACCGGAACGCAGTAATGCTATTACCGCTTGGTGGCAGAAGTAGGTGAGGTGGCAGTACTTCCCTGGACGAACTCACCATTAACAATGACATAAGTCTGGATAAATATGTAACCCTCAGATTACAAAACAATAGATGTAACCTACCATTTTCTTTAATGGTCCGAACATTAGTAATTGCAGTGCTACTCAAAGCTTGTCACAAAGATCTGAGCACCTCATTGAGTCCGTCACCCTGAGACAGACTAGACAGACGCACACAAACATTATAGTTAGAAACGAAAAACTTAACCTTGTACATATAGTTGCATTTCTTGGTATAACTTTAGATGCTAAATTACAATATGGTGCATATATAAATAAGTTATCCAAACGGCTTAGCTGTGCAGTGTACGCGAATAAAAAATACAAAAACTTTCAGACGTCGCAACAGCTAGATTGGTTTATTGACACTTGGCATTTTGCTTTGGGGTAATGCAGCCAATATTAAAAGGGAGCAGAGGAAAAATTCCTAATCTTCAATTTGATTTTAGAGGGGTATATCCACTTTAAAGTTAAAATAAAATATTGTATGAGTAACTACACGATATATTCAAGCATAGACACTAATCAGAAACATAAAACAATAAAGCTTCCTCGATAGAAAAAGAAAAAATCACGAAATGATCTCTAATTTTCACATTTTTTCGACTTTATCCTCGAAATGCTACAGGTTATTAGGACAAAAATTAGATAATTAATTATATTTATGCATGATCGAGAACTGTCACTACGGATTTTTTTAATCCCTTTAGTTTTAGAGTTATTCCGCTATAACGAATTTGGTACTTTTAATGCGCAAAATGTTGATCGTCGTTGCGCATCTCCTGTCGCATGTCACGCGAACTTCAGTCATATATTTGTTTCACAAATTTGGGCGGAGCCAACGTCAAAACTTTTTTGGCATGAGACTGAGAGCTCTTAATAGAATCTTTGCTTGCGGAAACGTGCGGTTAGGGCAATTTACAATCTGGGCCCCAGAGTATCTTTGAGAGATAAGTTTAAAGAGATTAACATTCTTACACCTAACGTCTCAACACATTTATGAAAATGACATATATGGTAAGAAAAATATTACATTTTTATAAATTATATTCGCGTATTTTCGTGAAACTCGGATGACTACGAAAGCAGTGACATCGAAAATAGTACTACAATATGTGGCTGATGATGAAACTAATGGATTTTATGTGTGACAAATAAACAATTGTAATTGCAATTTTCAGGATTGGCCCGCGCTGACACGATCAACCACCACAAAGCAAAACTGCAATCAAACACAAACGAAAGCGCTAACTTTCCATCTCTTCGTTTGATCACTCAGTTACTTTCCACAACTATTTTATGCATAAAGATGTTGAGTATTTCGTCTCAACTACAATGACTTTTAAGGTGTTAACTTAAGGTTTGCTGCACTTTGAAGAATAAAAATTAAAGGCCAGCTTTGAAAGTTTCATTAGAACGGGGCATGCTGCGTCCACGTTAAGGCTAAAATTTTACTTTTAAGATGTTCACTGAGAAATATTTGTATGGCCTACAATTATTTCTCTCGTGAGTTTGGATATGATTTGTGTCCATAGCACCCGCGATACAGGGTTGCCCTAGTGCGGGGTTAAAAAACGTTAGCCGTACTACTACATACGTACGTACGAAGAACAACAATTGAAGGCCTATTTTGAAAGTTTCATTAGTAAGGGGCACATACTTAGTCGTTTAATAAAATATAAAGAATTATAACGCATAGAAACGTAGCCCGCACACGCTAAGTGAGGGAAATTGAAGCGCTCCCAAAGGGCCTACACGAGCGGGCGGGCCGTCAGTACTCAAGGTCAACTTGCACTGCGAACAGCTCAAGAATTTTAGCTAAAAATGACGAAATGTGCGGTAAATGAGTGTAAAAATACGTCAGACAAACATAAATTTCAAATAAATTCACTAAAACCGAAAATTAATCTACTACTAAAACTAGCCTACATGAATTTGATTTTGCTTCACTTGTGACAGTTCGTTTGATATGAAACTATCATTCTATGCGTTATTACTCTAAGGCTAAGATATATAAAACGAACTTTGCGTTCAACTAAGCAAAGATGTTTAGATAAGTAAATTTTTCGGAAAATTTTTTGCAGAAATCGCTTAAAGCGATAAGACCGCCCATTGTACCACCGCTTATTTTTAATTTAATTGTATTGTATTTGTTTCCTTTTTTGGTGTACAATAAAGAATTTTTGTATTGTATTGTATTGTATTTTTCGTATTTAAAAAAACAAACATAGGCAAAGTTCATTTTGTACGTAGTTTCAGTTTTTCATTAGTCGAAATAAAGTCCTTCATACATTTCCATAGTCCATTTATATAGTCTAAGTGAGCTAAGACCATTATTCATAAACTACACAATTGGTACGTTGTTAAACAGTAAATTACATCTATGTTGGTCACATTTGTCCGATCCACCTAATTAATATCACGCTGATTCACCGTGACCATTAATTTAAATAAGTCAATGAAACAATGGTTTTTACGACATTTGATATACCAAATTTGAATTTAAAAAATACAATATTACAATATACTTACTGTGTCCAAAAGGTCAATGAGCTTCAGTAAGTAGTAGCAGTATACAAATTTGGCGACTCGTATGGCCTCTTCGGTGTTGGAGTAGTCAACTGGCTCGCAAACCCATTTGTATTTCCATCCCCAGGCATACACGATGGCCTGAAAAGCGTTTTTAAGCTCTCGTCAATAAGGATCAACAAAGCTTAACAATATCTTAATGGCTTTGCTCTACAATATTGTTTATAAGATCGAATAAAGACAAAGAAAATTCCTTAAAAAAATATCCGAACCAGCACCTTTGCCAAACCGCTCTCCCAACTGAGCTGCGGAACCAAGCAACAGTCTTTACACTCGCTCGTTGCAGATCTTTGTTTTTGATTTTAACGGCTTTATTTCCAAATGCATAAGTATAAATATAATACCTATTTAAAATAAATATTCCTCAAAAAAATGGCTTATAATTTCTTTTATTTTCTGGAAACCAATGTTATTAAGTAGCAGTATTATATAAGTTGACCAGTCCCATGTGCCTGTAATTTCACCAGCAACCTTACATTTCAAAATCGGAAGGCAGTAATGCTCGCATTACTGCATGGCGGCAGAAATAGGTAAGGTAGTAGAATTTCCTTGGTCGAACTGTTTTACAAGGGGCTCTGCTGCTACTATGAATTTTGTAAAGTGCAATATGCCCATTTGAATGATGTCACTAAAACTAAAATTATAAATCTATATTGGGCTATTTGTATTTTGAGCCCTATTTGTATTTTGAGCACTAAGGAACTTTTTTTTCATATGCGATGTAACTACTTATAGACCTTTCTGAGAGAAATAAACATTTTGTATTGTATTATTTTATCCATTAAAGACATAACTAAAGCTACGTCATAGCAATAAGTATCACTATGGTCTGTTCTGGCCTACTATGAGATATGCACATGCCGTGAAAGTATAATGACACTAATGGGACATAGATTTTATCGTTAATTATAGACAAGTAAGGACGTGTTGGAAAATTGGAGAAAGTTATCTTTTCGCTCGAGGCTTCAATTACTGATTTAGGTTAATCACTAAGGTTATGAGCAAAAGTGATGTACGAACGTGGTATAAATATCAACACTGAAAATTCAACGTTATTTCTGTGGACAGAATTTGATATCATATTTCGAAGTAGTATTACTACAGGACGTCCTAATGGTCGACGACCAGCTGGTCGGACCAAATAATATCGATGGAGGGACGAAATAGCAGCGCAGAGAACTGGGAAGAGATCGCAGAAAAAGTAGTTCGCGCTGGCGCAAACTAGTATCGGACGCCAATACCCGCTTTGGGTCGCTGAGCCAACGGAGTAAGTCTTCTAACAAAATGCACCCACTACTTGCAAATATACATCATGAATAATAATAATAATAAATAAATCATTTACTTGGCATCCAAGGCCCACTTGTTAGGAAATACAGACAATTTTACCTTACGGCTGTTATTCGTACATATAAAACCAAACCACAAAAACACATTACGCTCGAGGCGCCGACTACCTCATCACATCACCAGAACCTGGATGAAATGACGAGCTTAGCTGCAAACGTTCTTAGGATGCTGTTAGGACTAGAACGCAGTCTAGAAAGTAGTGACGCCGTCTTTTTACGTATCATAGCAAAAAAGTAAACTATTCCCGCTTGAGCAAACACCGACGATGCGCTACAGAGTCGCTGTAGTCCCAACAGCATCCTGAAACCGTTGTTATATTGAACGCGCAGGGCCGAGTGCCTTCTGCGTAAACCTTAATGTTTTTTTCTATACTTAAGCGTATTTAATTAAAATTTTTGATTTGTCATACTTTCTGTTACTTCATACTTGACAACCCAATTGACGAACTGTATTTGGGGAATTTATCGTTCACTTAGCAAACAATAAAACGGCCTCGTGATTCCGACAATTTACAATTCCTCTGACGTAAGTGACAATCTACGTAACTAATACACAATCGAATATTTTTGGCAAATATATATGTGACACTCTCCTTGGCGACTCTCTTCCACAGCAAGCCGGTGATGATAGGAGGCGTCTAAAGCCGCCACATATATAAACTCACAGTCTATTCTCTAATTATTTGTAAATTAAGTAAATAAGTTACAAAATCAGTGACAATAAGATTACATTAATTAAATTTTTATTGAATTGATATTCAATAATTTTTGTGAAATTACTCCACTAGTTTGTTTAATTCAGATTCAGATTCAAATTAATTTATTTCCCAAATATAACATTACAGTATAAATTGCACTACGTGTCAAAATATAAGAAATTATATTGAGATCGTCGTACAAAAATGAAAATTATTAGAAAAATACACAATAAATTGAAAATTAACAATTTAATTAAATTTTTATTGAATTGATATTCAATTATTTTTTTGTGAAATTACTCCACTAGTTTGTTATAATTATTAATACAAAGATCGAACACTCAGAAAAAACACTCAGAAAAAATTCCTTCGATCCGGTCGCATTCGAACCGAACGTCTTCTTGCATACCGTGCCAGACGCTATACCAACTAAGCCACGGAACGAACCAACGGACCTCACGAATTTTTCTATGTGCTTGCGTCGTGTCTTTGTACTTGGTTTTACAACGACTTTTTAGTCGTAGCGCCATCTATGAGAAATCTATTGCAGATTTATCACCCAATAACATTACAGTACATCATTAAAAATGTTGCTGATAATGTTGAGGCTTTCAAAATGACTATATAAATATAAATAATAAGAAGAAATCCTTTTAACCCCGACTCACAAAAAAGGTAAGTTACAAGCCTTTATCTGTGTATCTCTATATCTGTTTCTCTGTAGTATCGTAGCTCGTAAATTAGAGATGCGCGATTGTGAATGATTTCAATTTTTTTTTGTCAAATTAATAATCCATAGATGTCATAGAGCATTTCCACTCGTAATCACCTAGCCGTCTCTGACATATATGGTACATACTGTAAATGTGACTAGGACAGGGATATTTTGGTATGGACATGATGAATGAGTGTTCCGATATAATAATCATTCGACACTTACACCCGACCGAATGGCAGGGCATTCGGTATAGTTAAACATTCGACTCGAGTCCAACGATTGTGCTTGGATTCGACTGCTTTTTTTTTTATTCGGTTTTGATGATTCTACTTGGTTGGAAAGAGGGTACCTCAGTATTGGTCCCCTTTAAATTTGAAGAAAATATTCCACCTCTAAAGGTGGCAAACTACGGGATGAATCCGGTTCGCGCACTTTCCGGTAACCGATTTCAGTAAAACTTGGCATATAGATGTAATTCTACGAACTTTTTAGGTCGGTTTTTTTAGTACTCTGTACTGAGATTATTATCTAATACAATCTTAAACACTTACCCCATAAAAAAGATACGCGCAACATAGTACTTGCAAAGCATTATACACTATCATAATCTTGTCCAAATTGAACGGTTTTCGATTTTTCATCCACTGCGGGCCCCATTTCAACACGAACATCAAATACAGGCCTAATATAGTCAGCCCTTGGTACGGCTTTGCTGCTAGAAACCATGATTTTGTTCTTTGATCTGTAAATATTAAAAAAAAACAAATTTTACTTTTCAAGTCATTGACCCAAAAACGACCTTGTGTAGGACAGTGTTTGATGTGACTCCTCTAACACTTAAGGTTAAGGTCCATAGTGCAGTAAAGTTAGCCTAATGGGGTTGGGAAAGTCGCACATCTCCAAAGTTATCTGAACCTTTCCCGTCATGCAGGTTTGTTTTATAGGTCGATGAGTTCACAAGTGAAGAGTATTAGAAAATAATTCCTATCTAGAGCGACATCTATCGAGCCATTACCGTCGACATACTGCAAGTGACAAAAAACAAATTTTTACAGGAGACGGTATTTTTAAATGGTTTTACATATAAATAATAATAATGATCCTGAGTCCCTGACCCCGGCCGACTGTGTCATTGCCGGGGAATACTGCCTGTCCCATTTAAAAATTTATTTAGAGGCGAGAGCTTGAAATAGATATAATAATAATAACGCACACACTCAACATAGCCCCGCACTAAGGAAACCCTATGTCGCGGGTGCCATGGCCACACACATAGACAACCACAAATTACACCCAAACTCACGACTAATAAATGTAGGGCATACAAATATTTCTCCCAGTCCGGGAATCGGGACCTCTGCGTGGTAGTTCGGCATCGTAACCGTTCGGCAACAGAGGCAGTTAAAAGAAATAAATATAATAATAAATTGAATTTTAATATATCGATGTACTTGTACTAACTACACTTTTGGATATTTTTCAGGAGAGCAATTTGAAAGTTTGACTTCGAATTCCAGAAACAACTTGCTATGTATGACTGACTTATAGCATTTATAAAATATTATAACTATTAGGTGGTAATTTACTTTATAACTAAACGGCTCTTACATTAAGCTTGCAGAATTTATTATTAAGCATTAAGGTCAATTAAAATGAAACCCATGCACCTGGCACATTTGAGTACACACGTGTAGCGCTTAATACTTTAGATAATTAAAAATTATCCAATAGTATACAATTATTACATTTGTGCTCTTAACACTCGAGTACTAAAATCACTTAACGTGATTATGCACGCATTTTAACCAATATTCTCAGTATAATGTGAGTTTAGTATCTCTGTGCAATTACATGATTTTTTGTGGAATAAAATCAGTTAATTTAAAAACGTAGGTAAGTAATTCCCTAAAAAAATAAGAACAATTCAATTATTGGATTTCTGTTTCCAGCTCAGTTAGTTTACTTGGCGTGACGTTGTTACAAGAAAAAGACAACATATTGGAGTTCTGATGAATGGGAATGATGCAGGGTGACATTTAATACATTTGGCATCGATAAAACAAAAAATAGTAGCAGTAGAGCTCCATGTGAAAGAGTTCGTCCAGGGATGCTACCTTACCTATTTCTGCCGCCAAGCAGTAATGTCAGCATTACTGTGTTCCGGTTTTGAAGGGTAATGGTGCTGGTGAAATTACAAGCACATGGGACTTGTCAACTTGTGTCTCAGGATGACGGGCGCAGTGGCAGTGCCCCTCAGATCTTTGCGATTTAAAGCTCTGAGTGGCACTGCAATTGTTATGGATAGGCGTGTAGCTCACTATTAGGCGCACGACTTGTTGGTCCCGTTATTTGATATTATATAAAAAAAGATAAATTATGCGCTCAGTGCTAGTGTGGACTATACTATCGATATAGTAATGAATTTCGTAACCGATTATGTAACAGCTATTTTTTTATTAACAATGGATGTTAAGCCATTTTCGGCGCTTACAAAATTTTTTTTCTACCTCCATTTAACATTTTTTGAGGATTTCAGGCGTTTAAAGCAAAACTTGCGATTAAAAATATGCAAAAAGGTGCAGTACGTTTTTTGCCTTTTATTTTTTTTTGCCTATTAGTTATTGTTTATAGTAAACGACAGACGGAAATTGTTATGTACTATGTCGGTTGCGACGACAAGTGTGGTACACTAAAGTATAAAAAAACAGCAGACTTAACGATACACTTAGCTTTCGCTGTAATTTCTATTGGTTGTAATTTTGGCGGCAAATATCGACGTGTCCTTGTCCGTTATAGTTTAAAATAATCATTTGCAATAAAAGATGCTGTTTAGGTTAAAAAGTCGCTTACGATAAGTCAGCGGTCATTGCCCGATATATTGGCATAAATATTTATAATTTTTATTTTTCCCAAATATGCACATGCCATGCATGGGTAAGCAGAGACCATGAACCTCCACCTGATACGCTCCTGACAATTCTCTTTCACCTCCTCTGAATTTTATTTAAGTAGTGCTAAATTATATTTAAGATAATTATTATATTTAAATTCAATTAAGTATCGATTTCTTAAGTTTCCGCGATTGTTACTTACAAATAGGAAATGAATACTTATTGTGTACGTATAAATTGCGTACTTATATTTGTTTTTTCAAACAAATCAACATTCGGGCCCTTTACCACCTTGGCCATAGGCTTCAGGTACTTTAGTTTGTTAAAAAAAAAAACAAATATAGGTACGTGATTTAGATTTAGATTCGAAAAACAGATTCATTTAAGTAATTTTTCAATGAGTGTATTTTCAATAGTCGTTATTGTTTTTGATTCTCTGATATGTTTTCCCCCGCACTAGCTCGGAAAGAAATCTGCGCGCCAAAGCTTTTTTGCACGCTAGCGAGGAGGTTTTTGTACTTCGAACTTCACGATGGACTAACCTAACCTAACTGTCTCTTTCGATGAAAAAAATAAAGATAATGACACGTTCAATTAAGCGATTTGTCGTACATTACTTATTAATGTAACATAAATTCGTTGGTATATTTTATTCTTATTATTGTTAACATTAAACTGACAATGATAACTAATTGTTTTTACAAAATTATTGTAATTCGTTAAAAAACTAAAATAATTTCAATAACCACTTAATCAAAGTACAAGCAAGAATAAAAATTGATGAGATGTAAATTCAGAACGCATCCGAATATAAACTTTTTCTTTTCAATAAAAAAGGTTCTATAGTTCAACTGTTTTTATTTCATTTACCATTTCCCTCGTTATAGTGAGGAAAAGTTGTGTCTTTCGTTCGGCAGCAAAGTTGTTTTGCGTCTCGTGGCTTGAAACACTCGCTACGCTAATCTATCTATCTAATCTTAGGGTCGTATTCCAGAACTGTACTCAATCCTCAAGTCAGGATTTGAGCAGACTTGAGTATGATTTCAAGCACTGGAAATACGACCCTAATGGCAAGGAGTTGAGTATGATTTTCAGTGCTCACTGCAATACTCAAGTCCTGACTTGATTATTGAGTAGAGTTCTAGAATACGATCCTTAGCTTCCTTCGCTTGTTCGGGTTTCAATACAAGCACTTGCGGCAAACAACAACTTTGCACCCTTGCATAACAAATAACTATTGTTAATTTGTTATAAATAGTGACACCTTAATTGTAACAAACACTGTATTCCATAATTTGTACGGGCAGTGCGCATTGTAAGTCCTTTTTGCAGTCTAGGTCTCAATTTTGACATGTGTTTAGTTTCGCAAAATTTATCTACAGTTCGTATAATTTTAATTATATTTTACGAAATGTGTTGTTTGTAGTTTACCTAATATTCAATAGTTAGGTATCATTATATATTTTACTTGTCAGTGTTAAGTAAACGACGACCTCCTTGTTCGATTAGCTGGCACACTGGATTTCATGTCAATGTAGAAAAACTTTATGTAGAAAAAATACTAACTTTTCTATATTGTCTCGAGTTTGTTTGTGGTACCATCGTTGTTAAGTGTTTTAGTTACTTACTTTGGGATCAGAGCAACATATTAGTGGTGTTGTCTAATATATTATATAGTCAAAAAACATTTTAATTTGTTTTGTATTTTTTACCGCCTTGCCCCAAGCCTCGACGAAGTAGTCTATGTGTGGTTTTACAAGGGAGTTACATATTTTTAAATCTATTTTTATGTGGAAAACATTTGATTATACTTCGAATCGAAGAGTATAGTCCAATGTCTAGGAGATGTTAATTTAAATTTTATTTTACTAATATGGTATTTGAATGCCATATCCAAGGTGTTTTTCGCTGTCATTTTTTTAGCTATCTTTCTATTTTTGGCGGTAAGATATTTATGTTCAAAAATTATTGCTTTGAAAGCAAGTTTTATGTAGTTTTATATCACTTTGCATCCTTTACTACATCCTCGACTGAATATCTGTAATACATTTAGCATGTATCGTTTTAACAATATTTTTGTATGTTATTCATATAAAAAAGATCCCATTATCGAGTCTTGAATCACGTGAAAATATAACTCGTTTTACTTAAATCCGAATTTACCTACTTGATAACGTTTAATAATGTAATGTACGATTCAAAAATGTTTATAGCAGGTCCAGTGCAGTTCTTTTATCAACAATTCGTGACCGTATCAAATGCCTTCATTAGTTCGATATCTTGCTTTAAATAAGTCTAATGAAACTTAATATTTTCCATTGGAAAAGCTACAACCCACATGCATAGCGTACTCTCTTATATCAATGAATACCTCATTTTCAAACAGGTTTACAAACTTTAATTTGCCGTAGTGGTAACATCTATTCATTCAATTCCCGAACATATTACAACGACTTATGACTTACTGCAATGTAAATGCTGCTTGTAATTTGACCACTAGGCTAGGATAGCGGTAATTCCGAGGTACGAGTTATAGCAATTTTAATGTCTACTTCGAAAGTGCATTGTAATGAACGCTTTATTTGCTTTTACAGCTTTCTAAACTTCTGTTGTTGTTTGAAATGCATAAATTCCTACAATATTTCGAAGTTACTATCAACAGACTGAAGCCTTTTGGAAATCCTCGAAAGAAAGCGGTGCTCTAAATGAAACTAAAACATAACGTGATTGTTATTAAATGCCTACATCTGTCATAAATTGTCGACTTGGACTTGAAACTGTAATACAATTTCCCAAAATATGCACATAATTTCGATATCAAATGCTACACAATTTACTGTAAAAACCTTTGACCCAACGATTACCAAACTAGATCTTGCCCTAATACCTTGAAAAAACAGTAAGTGCGTTAATTGTTTCATTCACTATTTTACTATACATTGCATTTATAACTTTGAACTTTG